TAATAGAAATGTCCATTTGCCTCTTATATTCATGTTCTGTATTCTTCATCTCTTCCTTTTTAAACTTGTTTTATTGTATTTATATCTTCTTTCTGCTATTCGAAAGCACCGCCTTTTTTCCCAACATATTTGGTCAAACCAAGGTTTAATAACCTTTCTTCGACATTTCTTTTCATGTCGTTTATAAGTAAAAGATCCAAACACCTTTTCGGCTGAATCCAGCATTAAACCATTTACAGATTCAACTATTTTATTAATATTTTCTTGAGCAAGTATACTGGTATTCAACATAGTTAAATCATTATTTGATTGATCGATTTTATTTCTATCGATATTTCTCACAAGAAGTCTCATTAACTTTGAACATTATAGAAATTTTCGGATCACTTTCAGGCCTGAAGCTTATTCGAAATAAAACAGAAGGGATATGGCTCGGAAATTTAAAGTCCTGTAAAGATAAAGTTGAAAACATTAAGTGGACACAAGAACCGATTAAAGTATTAGGAATATATTTTGGACTTAATAAAAATGAGTGTAAAAAATCAAACTTGCAAAGACAATACGAAAAATCGGAAAAAATAATTAAAGATTGGAATAACAGAAAATTAACTATGTTAGGTAAAATATTTCTTGTTAAATCACTAATCCTACCAAATATCACCTATGTTGCATCAGTAACAGAAATTGATAAAGAATACCTCGCAAAATTAAAAAAAATAATATATAATTTTATATGGAATAATAAACCAGAAAAAGTTAAAAGAGCGATAATAAGTAAAAATTATCATGCTGGCGGGCTTAAAATGATAGACCTAGATAAATATATAGAATCCATAAATATTAATTTAATGTAAAAAGACTCATTGATAATGAAGACTCATCACCCAATTGGAAAGTCTTACCAAAATTTTACTTAGACAAATTTGGACAAGAATTCCTTATATTTAAAATAGACTTTAACAATATTAATTTGATTAATAAACTAAAAGAAATTGTTCCAGAATTTTACTTAAAAATAATCATATCATGGATAAATTCAAAATCTGAAAAAGAATCAGATCGACTAACATGCATATAAACATATAAGACAGCAACTTATATGGGGCAATAAGCATATCAAATTAAATGGTAAATGTCTTATTTTCAAAAATTGGATAAACAGTAAAATTTTATTTGTAAATGACATAATTGATGACAAAGGAAAAATTAATCAAAATAAGATTTTAGATAAATTATCTTGCCATGCTAATTGGTTTTCGGAATATATTAAATTGATGAAAGTAATACCAAAAACAGTGGTTACAAATTAAGAGTTAATAAAAGAAGAATCAATTAAAACAAAAGTCGCTACCGACTCCAAATTTAAATTCCAAAATAGAGAAGGAAAAATGGTACCAATTAAAACATTTTCCTCCAAAGATATCTACATCTCCCTTTTAAATAGATATTATGAGAAAGCAATAGGATTTCAAAAATGGGACAGAATTCTTAATTTAGATAACAATACAAGGAAAAGAGAACAAATGTTGTACTTTATCTTTAACTATATCCAAGATAATAAATTGAGAATGTTAAGATGGAAATTACTACATTACATTTTACCAACCAAACAATTACTTTTCTCTTGGAAAATAACTAAAACTCCTTTATGTAATATATGTAATGTCATTGAAGATTATGAACATTACTTTTTGACATACAAATATCTGAAATCATTTTGGGATCAAATAAAACTAATACTAGACCTGGGACTATTATACTAACATAATAGTCCCAGACTAGACACACTTAAAATAGGACATCATATAATATCACTTGCATCATTTTTTGTATGGATACAAGATAAATGATACAAATTATTACAATATAAACGATTTTCTAACAATCATACTTTTTACTATATATAAAGTATAGTATATATCCGAGCAGAATACAAAACAAATTAATGTGTTTGAAATTTTTAAAAATGAACTTCTCCAACATTACGAAATATTGACAAATAAACAAGGCACACATAAAAACTTCTGCAATTTGGTTGCAGAAAAAATTAAGTTTAACTTATCTTCTTAAACTAAGATTTATAATATATCATATTAATTTCTTTTTATTCTGTTACATATTATTTATTAGCAAAACTGTATATTGTGTACTAACAAGTACTAACCTTATCACTGAAATGCTATATACTAACGTTAACGAGGCCGGGATAAGGTACCGGTACTTTATGTATCTCTAACAAATGTACTTTTCAAATAAAATTATATAAAAAAAAAATAATAATACTGGGAACAATCTGATGTGTGGTAATTTTATTGTTTATCATGCATGGATCATATAACAAAAAGAGATGATGTTGTTGGGCTAGAAATGCTTTTAATTTTCTTTTGCATTATTGTACTTCTAAGTGTCCAACCTATTACATTTACATCAATTTCATAACAAATATTTTGTCTGTCTTTTTTTAATATGTTCATATTCTTCATTGCTTACATACTTTAATATAAAACATATTTCATGTATCTGCACATTGTATCATCATTATGTATTCAAACTATCTTTATATAACTGATACCTGGGTTACTACATTTTTGTACTTGTATATATGTAGGACTCTAAAGTGCGATGGGGACGGTAAAGTGCGATGGTCACGCTAAAGTGCGATGGTCTGCGCTAAAGTGCGATGCCTCCATACGCTAAAGTCCGATGGTCCGCGAAAGTATAGACGTAAGAAACGTAGTTGGATTATGACGTTAACAGGTCGTTTATACAAACCAAAAATGACTATGCCGGAAGATAAATTAAGAATATTTGATTAACAACTTTTAAATCAAATGTCCATGACTTAAATAATTTCAAACATAACCGTGCTGAAACAAATGTGTGTTGTTTTTTTTCGGGTGCTGGAAGAAGGACTTGTGTCCTGCAGTTGACAATTTTACTATAAAGATACAAAATAGTATACGCATAGGTATCCTGTATCCTGCTTCTATTGGAAGCGAACGGATACATTTGATAAAAATTAAAATCATTGTTTACGTTGCAGTTTACTTTGCGGTCCCCGTTAAAATATTATCGATTTTATTGAAAAGTTACATGTTTTCAAGCGTAAATTATAAACTGTCGACTAAAACATAGTTTGTACATTGTAGGAAAATGTAACATGTATGTGTACTCGGTACAAAAAAGAAGAAAGCTCGGCGAATTTCACCTTTTGCTCGCAATTAGATTAAAGCTTGTACAAATAAATGTTACTGATATTCCGACAATGATCGAATTTTGTATTTGTAATTTACAAAGACGACTGTAAGGGGAGATGTTCAGGTTATTGATAGACTGTGTGAACGGCAAGCTATACCAGTTATCCAAGTATTTAACATGTTTAATACGCCAGAATTGTTAAAAAAATCATTTACAGGAAATAAAGTATTTTGTGACACCTGAATTACCTTTTTAGCAATTATTACGTGGTCGGTCTTCTAAATTTAGAAACAATCACTTAATCTTACCGGTAAATTATAAATTAAAGCCTGTCACATATGTTATACCTGTGAAAAGAGACTATTTTTTAACATCCATGTACTTTCACGTTTTAAACCCTCGAACCTTATCCTATTGATCCATCGCACTTTAGCGTGACATACCATCGTACTTTAGCAAACAAACAACCATCGCACTTTAGCGTGATTCACCATCGTACTTTAGCGTAGACCATCGCACTTTAGCGTGACCATCGCACTTTAGAGTACCATCGCACTTTAGAGTCCTACATATATATTAATAGTGTGTAATAATACGATGTACAATGTATCTCCCACATTTTATAGTAACAGTTGCACATACATATCATATAGTTCTGATATTATCATAAAAAATTGAAAACAACACGTTTAATAATTGCATGCGTCCGAAGCGCTTTTCTGGATTTACCTTCATCAGGAACGCTCAATGCCAAACATTTGAAATCCGAGGGATGTGTAAGTACCGAAACAGCTATATGACAAAAATAACTAAAACAAATAGCCAAATTCATCTAAAGTCAACTTTGTAAGACAGCCTCTAAAAAGAGCTGGACCGTTACAGTAAACTCCATGACAAACTATATTCATGTGTTGTAACCCCTGGCAATTTTGTAAAAATTCCTGTCAGAATTCTGAACCAAAATTTGTCTGACTAGTCGTCATATGATAAGACCTGGTAAAAATTTTCATAGTACATGTACTTCGATCATATCTGTAGATATACAACTATATTCTAAACATCAAAGAGGAAAGTGCGGTCATCGAATTATTATGATGACAAGTAAATGTAGCTACTAGATAGTATCATGTACTGTACATGTATGTCTTGTCACTTCTAGGATATTAAAGCCAAGAATTGGAATCTAGCTGAAATAAAAACAAATACAAATAAAAAAAAACAAAAAAAAAACACCTTAATATCACACAATTTAATGTTTACTTAGTAATATGATTCTTTCTAGGCTTTAAAGCATTTCAATAACTTTGATTGGCAATTTGAATAGATTCTACCACTGTGTGATACGATATTTCTCCCCTCGAGACAATTAGATTTTCAATGCGAGGCTGGCCAAGCGTTTTTAATATTTGCAGTTTAGATGTAGAGAGTGGAGAAATATCGTATTGCACGAGCTTTGGTGGTAGCATACCCAACTATATCAGTCCTATTCAGGATCGATAACTCTGTCGATAAATATTTGCGGATATACAATGTTGAAATGTATGCAATGACATATTTGTGTACACAAGTTAAAATTTCAGTATTGATTTTTTGGAATCTGTTTCTCTAATGATTTGTAAAAGATGATATGCACTCAAAATTAATCCTAATTTTTCGATGTCCTGCACATAGTCTCACAATAAAGAAAGTCTATTCCTCATGGGAATTAAAACAAAACTGTTCAACAACTGTCTCTGTTAGCTTTCCACTATAAAATGACAATAAAAAAACAAATAATTTTCTAAATTTTATTTTTTCATAAGGTGTTTGGTTAGGTGGTACGGACGCAGCTAAAGAAGGAACCTGGGTGTGGCCATCATCTGGTAAACCATTCACTTTCACAGATTGGTGGAAGAGTGTAGATGGAAGAAGGGGCGATGAACCAGATGATTATGGAAGAGATGGCCAAGACTGTCTCTCATTGTCCAGTTATGACAACTATAACGCGTGGCATGATAGCGATTGTAGCGACAAGCACAGAAGAGGAGACTTTAAGGGTATCATATGTGAAAAACGTAAGTTATAAAGATGACGAATTTCATTTCTTTTTTTGAATGCAAAATTAATTAAGAAAAGAATTTTTTATTGAAAATCTAATATAAACTTAAATCATATGTATAAAAACTTAAGTTATAAAGTTATAAGGATGACGAATTCCATTTTTTTTAATGTAAGATTAATGAACAATTATCTAAGCAAAAAAACGAGTGTGTTACTAACTGTTTGAAATGATCAAATATTAGGAATATTTAGTTAAGACAAAAAGGTAAAAAAATGAACATATAGACTTTTTTGATAAAAAAGTAAGAAAAAATATTTTCCATTAAACAATTTTATGCTTTTGAAAGCAATACATCTTAAAATAAAACTGTCACGGTCTTCCTTTATGGTAAAAAAAAATGAAAAACATTGTTCTTTGATATGATTTTTTGTAATTATGTTTATTCACCTCTATGCTTGTTTTAAGGATTTACTTAGCTGAGGTTCAGGAGTTTTTGTCAAATGCTCGGACTTCTTGGTTATTTTGCCCCCCCCCCCCCCCCCCCCCCCCGCCATTTTTCTTTTTATATAAGACTTCAATAGCTCATAATAGGACTTCACCAAAATTTAAGCATATTCTAGATTTCTTTTCTTTCGATTTGAGACCCAAATAATACCAATGCAATTTTAAGTCCGAGTCAGCCTTTTACCGCCTTTTAAAAAAAATCAATATCTCGAAAAGGAGCTCTATAACCTATCAATATTTTCAGCTATTGTGTTCCTTAACTAATGCTCTTCCGACTTAAAGTATCAATTTTAAATTCTAGGTTTTTTTAAAATTTCACCTTAGTACATCCTAAAATGAACATAATACATGTACATCAAATTATAAATGCACGAGACAATTTGATGATAAGTTTTTTTCTTCTTTTTTTAGCGGCAGAATAAAAGACATAGACGAAAACAGACAAATGAATAGAAGAATGTCACAAGACACAATTAAATGACTAGCTATTAAAAAACATTTAAATCTACAAAAACTTAATTCATGTGCACTTGAAGTGTTTAAAGAATGTGTTTTAAATTTATGGGCGGTGGGGGGGGGGGGGGGGGGGGGGGGGGGGGGCTAGGATGAAAAATTTTGTCCTGCATTTTTTTTTAGTTGCAATCTCTGTCTTGCCTTTTTATTTTTCACTCAATTCGGTCCTGCCATTTTTTTTTATTAGTTTATCCTGACTTTTTTTACATAAATTGTCATCCTGCCTTTTTTTTTTTTGCCAAGTTGCTCATCCTGCCTTTTTTTTTTTACTCAAAACTCCTGTCCTGCCTTTTTTCAAATTTCATCCTAGCCCCCCCCCCCCCCTCCCACAAAATTCAAATGGTAGCTTCCTAATTCAATATTGTAATACAAGAGTGCACACACACTGAGATGTCTCTCGTTTGATTTTTCAAGATGCATGAAAATCAGGTCAAGGTCATATCAATCCTGGCAGACGGACATGTGCACATTACAATCATTCCCTACACAAAACAGGTGACCTCTTGTTCCTAGAACCTGAGAAAAAGACCCAAATCAACAAAAACAATGTTGAACAGTAAACCAAGAAAATGTCAGATGTACCCCGCCAGACAAACATATACGAAAGAAATTTATGTATTACTGAAAAATTATTACACCAGGGTTTTCGATATCATAAACTAGTCAAAACATTTACTAAATTTTATCATCGGTATAAGGACATCATTCGTAAATATAACTCAACATGCAGACATCTTATACGTTCGGGTATTTCACATCCAATCTTTTATGGTAATATTCTTTACAAAGCACAAAAATGTCAGTATTCACCTCAAAAGCTAACAAAACCTTTACAGACTTATTAAGAAGGGATATAATTACGATACTGTTGTCAGGTCATTAAAGATTGCATATTTTAGCTTTAATATTGATTCACTTATAGGGTCTTTGCATCGGAATTAAACATATTTATTCTAAAACCAGTTGTTGGCATGACACGGGTTATGTTCTTCTCATATATTTTATGATGGTATAATTCTAAACCCCTAACAGGAGGGATTGTGCCTGATATTCATATGATGAAGACATAATCTTTCAATCAGTTTAATTGAGGTCTGGAGCTGGCATGTCAGTAACTGCTAGTAGTCTGTTGTTATTTATGTATTATTGTCATTTTGTTTATTTTCATTTGTTTCCTATTCTGACATCGGACTCGGACTTCTCTTAAACTGAGTTTTACTGTGCGTACTGTTGTACGTTTGTTTTTTCTACATTGGCTAGAGGTATAGGGGGAGGGTTGAGATCTCAAAAAACATGTTTAACCCCACCGCATTTTTGCGCCTGTCCCAAGTCAGGAGCCTCTGGCCTTTGTTAGTCTTGTATCATTTTTAATTTTAGTTTCTTGTGTATAATTTGGAGTTTAGTATGGCGTTCATTATCACTGAACTAGTATACATATTTGTTTAGGGGCCAGCTGAAGGACGCCTCCGGGTGCGTGAGTTTCTCGCTGCATTGAAGACCCATTGGTGACCTTCGGCTGTTGTCTGCTCTATGGTCGGGTCGTTGTCTCTTTGACACATTCCCCATTTCCATTCTCAATTTTACAACTTACAATCATTCAATTAGACCATATGATATGTGACCCACTGCTTACACTTACATTAGTTTAAGAAATGGACCAAATAAAAAAAAAAGTACATTGTCCAATGAACCATGAAAATGAGGTTTAATAAGGTCAGATGAACCCTACCAAACGGACATTTTTAACTATCATTTCCAAAGGGTCAAGTGATCTTTGCTCATCATTTGGTGTCTTTAGTCCTAACTTTTAACAAAAGTCTCCCACCAACCAACATGGCTGACATGGGGTAAAATGCGTGTTTTGTTTTTTATCTTGAAAACCTCTGTGAATAAAGAAAATCTAACAGGATCAAAAATGTTCAGAATGTTCTACATTGGCTAGAGGTATAGGGGAGTGTTGAGATCTCACAAAACATGTTTAACCCCGCCGCATTTTTGCGCCTGTCCCAAGTCGGGAGCCTCTGACCTTTGTTAGTCTTGTATGTTTTTTTATTTTAGTTCATTTATATGTTTTGGAGTTTAGTATGACGTCCATTTTCACTGAACTAGTACACATTTTTATTTAGGGACCAGCTGAAGTCCGCCTCCGGGTGCGGAATTTTCTTGCTGTGTTGAAGACCCATTGGTGGCCTTTAGCTGTTGTCTGCTATTTGGTCGGGTTGTTGTCTCTTTGACATATTCCCCATTTCCATTCTCAAAGTTACTGATCACCCATTGGCTGTTTTTTTTTACTCATTGGTCGTGTTGTTGTCTCTTTGACACATTCCCCATTTTCATTCTCAATTTTATCACAATGTTGATTTCTAACTATTTTGGTCAAAACAATCAACAGACTTCTTATATTCGAGTAATTACCCTTAAATGAAGAATTTTACCATTTTATTTTCATTTATATAACAATGAGGAGATCATGATATGGTATGATTGTCAATGAAACAACTATTCACTGAAGTTCAAATGAAGTGGTTGTAAGCAATTTTAGGCAACCATACGGCCTTCAACAATAAGAAAATCCCATACAGTATAGTCGGCTGTAAAAGGCCCGACATAAAAAATATGAAATAATTCAATTGAGAAAACTAACGGCCTAATTTATAACAAAACAATTTAAGAAAAAAACAAATATGACAGACATGAACCAACGACTATGGCATGGTATTGGTTGCAAAAATTTGATATTTTTCATTTAAATGCAATATTTCTTATTTAATTGGTATATTTCTTCATTTAAATGCAATATTTTTTTATTTGAATGGTATATTTTTCATTTAAATGCAATTTTTTTTATTCAAATGGTATAATTTTTCATTCAAATGGTATAATTTTCATTCAAATGCAATAGTTTTTATTCAATTGGTATAGTAGTTTTTTTTATTTATATGCAATAATTGCATTATGGGAAATTCTTTGACGTCATAAGGTCAAATTTGCAACAACATTTGTGATTGGTCGGAAATTGTTTGGATTTCTCCCCTTTCTTTCTAAACATGGGTGACCAAGAATTAAAAAACGCGTCAGAATATCGCCCCTCTAACTAAATCTAACGTTCGTGCGAGTCCTGCACTGGCTGTTAAAATCTTGTGGTCATAACTAGTATTTCTATTGCAAAATTTCGATGGTCAAAACGTTCGGTCCACTTTTCAAAAACCGTTTCATTGTATATGGATTTATATGCAAGTATATCGGTTTTTTTAAATAGATGACCCCGAAAGGTATTTGATACACTCTTAAGTCTTCCACTTTTTTACGAACACACAATTCAAGGATCCCTTGTTTAACTATCTGAATGAAAGTTTGTCTTATGGGTAATTGGGTTTTTCACTGTTTTTTTTTGGTGCTGTCTTGTGGACGAATACCTGAAATCTCCGTGTAATCATCAATCATATTAATGGCTATATTTCGGGTAATTCAAACACTCGTTTCTTCGCATAGAAACAACTCTTCCTTAATCTGAGCATGGAACAAATACTTTATATATCACGGACTATAAATGTGGATACCAAAAATGAAAACTAAGCGAAATTGTCAATCCCGCAATGCATGAAAAAATGTGTTGTATTTCAGTAAATAACACGTGTTCTTGCATGGTTGCTTGTAAACACGTAGTAGTCCATCATGCATTGTAACTCATTTAGTGGATTGGTAAAAAACCCCAGGTAAAAAAAAAATTGCGTCATACGTAAATAAACAATTACATGTGCAAGGACATAAATATGCTAATCGGGTTGTTGTCTCTTTGACACATTCCCCATTTCCATTCTCAATTTTATAATTTATGCATATCCATATAAGGTAGTGTTCCCGACCTGTTTCATGGCGTTCAGTTTTCATTGGTGGAGGTAGCCGGAGTGCCCGAAGAGAACCTACGACCTTTGGTAGGAAACTGTCAATCATAGTCAATTAAAATTGGAGTCGAGCACCCTCCTCTTAATAAAGGTTGATTTTATTTTATTTCCAATTATGTGATTTCAACCATCAGTTAGTATTGAAAAAGGTTTGGTGAGTAAAAAAGTCAGATTATCTTGATTATAATTTTACTATGGTATAAAGCTTATTACAACAAAACAGTAGAGTACATGTAGATTAATTTGACAGAAACAAATTAACAAAATAGTCAAAACAGAGTCAAGCAAATTCGTGCAAAGTTGTGTGTCAATCCAATCATATTGTATTGTACGCTTTCAAATTGATAGATTAAATCAATAGTTTCTAATAACTGGAACTGTTTCCAATTTTTTTTTTAGCTTATGGATTCTTCAAGAAATGAATTTTAAATAACACCGGTATTAATCTAGCTCTTGTGACCATAAAAACTACATATTTTTGGAAGATAAAATAGATAGTAGTTGTTTGTTGCTAAATATCATATTTTTTCTTCGTTCATTGTTTTGTACATAAATCAGGCCGTTATTTTTCTCGTTTGAATTGTTTTACATTTGATTTCGGGGCCTATTATAGCTGACTATGTGGTATGGGTTTTGCACATTGTTGAAGGCCGTACGGTGACCTATAGTAGTTAACTTCTATGTCATTTGGTCTCCGGTTGAGAGTTGCAGAGGCGGATTTAGAGGGTTTTTCAGGGGGCCCGGGCCCCCTCTTTTGTGGCAAAAATTTGATTGATTATATAGGGAATCACTGAAGCATGACTGGAGCGGGCCCCCTCTTAGTCAGTCAGTGGGCCCCCACTTATGAAAATCTCTGGATCCGCCACTGAGTTGTCTCATTGGCAATCATACCACGTATTTATATTTTTATTAATGTTTTAACAGTATCCAGCTTATTTTTGACATACATCTACATGTATTGCATAGAAATTTGAACATCGATAAAGGACTTTTGCTTAACTCTAGGTCGAAGAGGCTATTTTCCACATGGTTAAGATGTAATAGATCTCTGCGTCTGGTATTTTTGCACTAAATCGTTTTGATTGTTCGAATACTTTCCCATGGACCAGTTTCTGTATTCTGCATTCATATGGTCAATGACTGAACCTTGAT